AAGCTCTCCCCTGATGTCACCGAGGGTCGTGCCATGGCCCCCCGCCACACAGGCATCGGACAGGATCCACGACCGCCGGATTCCTTTAACGGAATACCCAAAATTGAAGGCGTAGGCGATGGCCACACCTTGCCCTTCCACACACCACAAACACATTCCAATGCCTAACCCGCAACGGGAAGGCGGGAAAATGAGGTTGCGTGGCTGGCGCAGCAGCAAGTTGAGCTGCAAACCCCGCCCCCTCCAAGCCACCTGATTGGGGGGCTTACCTGTGGGCGAGGTGCGCCAGCCAGGTGAGTGGGGGGAGGAGGGGGTAACACCCCCTGCATGAGGCAGACATCGGGTCCCGCCCACAACCCCTCCCCTCTTTGCAAGAGGAGAGGCTTAACAGAAGGGACATTTTTTCACATATGGTGGGATTGTAAAATGATAAAGAAATATTGGGAAATGATTTATAGTGAAATGAAGAAGATGTTTAAAATAACCTTTGTTTAAAAAACCCCAGAAGCTTTCCTACTAGGTATTACAGGAGTGGACTTACCAAAATCACAAAAGAATTTATTTATGTATGTGATTACGGCCGCACGGACATTATTAGGCACAACATTGGAAAGAAGAAGGTGTCCCAGCTAAGAAAATTGGCAAGTTAAATTAACGGAATTATGCTGAAATGGCAAAATTGACAATGAAACTAAGAGGAAGAGACGACAACAAATTTAAGGAAGAATGGAAGATGTTTATTGCATATGTATCAGAAGCAATGTACACAGGTTAATACATTAGCAGGGTTTTTAAAACACTACTTTTAATTTTGTTATGAATGCGGTAATAGGTAAATGGTTTCAAATTTAACAATGGACATGCAGTATGCTGATAAACAATGGAACCAAGGAAGGACTAGAGGGAAGTCAAATTGTTTTGCTTTGCTATTTGTATTGTTGTTGTTTTTATTCTTTTGTTATTTTTGGAAAATTAATAAAAAGTTGTCGAAAAGAAAAGAAAAGAAAGAAAGAAACACCCTTTATTTATAGAGGGACCAGATACTTATACCTTGGCAATCTTTACAGCTTACGGCTATTCACGTCCGTACCTATATCTATTTTTTTAAAAATAATAATATTTTATTAAGTTTTTCAAAGAAAAATTAACAATCAACAAAAATCAACAAAAATCACAGAAAACAACAAACTTATACCTTGGCAATCTTTACAGCTTACGGCTTATTCACGTCCGTACCTATATCTATTTTCTTTAAAATAATAATATTTATTAAGTTTTCAAAGAAAATTAACAATCAACAAAATTCAACAAAAATCACAGAAAACAACAAACATCAGAAATAGAAACAGAAAAAATAGAAAAAGGAAGACTTAAAAAGGAAAATTTAACATTAAAAGAAAAAAGAAACTTCTCTTTCAAATTATTAGCCTTCAATACCTATTTCCTACTTCCACCCGCCTTTCCTTTCTTTATTCCACTTTAAAAATTTATTCAGCAAAATTCATTCATTATTCATTTTCATCCTTTATCCCTCCCTTTTTACTCTTATTTGTCTTATTCACTAGAACCCCTTCATTTCATTTTCAATGCCCTCAACATTCATAAATTTTACAGTGTTTTTGTAGGTAGGCTTTAAACTTCTTCCAGTCCTCTTCCACCTGCTCTTCTCCTTGATCTCGGATTCTGCCGGTCATTTCTGCCAGTTCCATATAGTCTATTACTTGCATCTGCCACTCTTCCAAGGTGGGTAGATCTTGCGTCTTCCAGTGCTTTGTGATAAGTATTCTTGCTGCTGCTGTAGCATACATAAAAAAAGTTCTATCCTTCTTTAACACCGATTGGTCAACTATGCCCAGGAGAAAGGCCTCTGGTTTCTTCAAGAAGGTATACCTAAATACCTTTTTCAGTTCATTATATATCATTTCCCCAGTACGCCTTAATCCTTGGGCACGTCCACCAAAGGTGATAAAATGTTCCTTCGATTTCTTTACATTTCCAACATTTGTTATCGGGCAAATGGTAGATTTTTGCTAGCTTGACTGGGGGTCATGTACCACCTGTAAATCATTTTCATAATATTTTCTCTTAAGGCATTACATGCCATAAATTTCATACCTGTGGTCCACACGTCCGTACCTATATCTAGATATGCTGCGCAACGCTTTGGCAGTGGCTCATAGTCACAACATATGGTGGACTAGTGGATGGAAGAGAAAAAACGCATTTATGAGGATGAGCAAGCAGAGTTTGCTTTTGTAGCTGTGTGGTATCCTATGACCGCTAGCATAAAAATGGCCAGGAAAGCATGACTTGTACAACCCGTTCCGTCCATCAAAAGACATTTTTACTTTTGCACTAGTTTTACCGAATGACATGCCAATCAGATAGAGAGAAGAGAACAAGAAGAAAAAGGAAACACTCGGTCAATTTTCACTTTTTCAGTTTAAGTACACTTGATCACCCTGGAAGGTAATTTTAAACCCAGTTAGTATTTTAAGTAGTGCTCAGTCAAAGGTGGAAAACCAGAAGCATTTTGAGCTAGAGCAGCTCTCAATAAAGGGTTGATTTTGGTCAAAGTGATGTAGGACCTTTGGTTGTGAAACTGTATTTTTACAGAACAAAATGGGCTCCCCCTTTGGATATCCCTGAAGATGTACATCAGTTGTGAGGTACACAATTAGTATTTGTCTTCCCCCTGCCCCTTCTATTGCATAAAGTCATAGTATTGGAAGGGACCCATGACAGATGCTTAAAAACCTCCAAGCAAGGAGAGGCCACCATCTCTTGTGGGAGTGTTTCACTGTTGAACAGCTCTTATGGCCAGAAAGTTCTTCCTGATGTTTGGTCGGAATCTCCTTTCTTGTAACTCGAAGCCATTAGCTCGAGTCTTACCCTCCAGAGCAGGAGAAAACAAGCTTCCTCCATCTTCCATGTGACGGCCCTTGAGATATTTGAAGATGGCTATAGGGTTGCCATATTTCTGATGGACGAATCCCAGATATGTCCAGGAAATCCTGAATGTATGGCAGCTGTAGCTATCATATCTTCTCCCAGTTTCTTCTTTCCCAGGCTGGACATACCCAGCTCCTTCAACCATTCCTCATAAGGCTTGGTTTCCAGACCTTTGATCATCTTGGTCGCCCTCCTCTGCATGCATTCCAGCTTGTCAATATCCTTCTTGAATTGTGGTGCCCGGGACTGGACGCAGTATTCTATTGCTATATTCCTGATATGCTGATAGTGAATGTTGCTGGACATATTTCAGCGACGGTTCATGATACCGTCCGTACAATCAGATCCACAGTGAGATCAAAACAGTTCTTTTCTTTAACACGAAACTGTTTTGGATCACTTCTGGGCAGGTACTATTTTGCGAAAGGGCTTGAATTGCATAGTGGCAAATTTAAGGTAAAGGGACCCCTGACCATTAGGTCCAGTCGTGGCCGACTCTGGGGTTGTGGCGCTCATCTTGCTTTACCGGCCAAGGGAGCCGGCGTACAGCTTCCAGGTCATGTGGCCAGCATGACTAAGCTGCTTCTGCCGAACCAGAGCAGTGCACGGAAACGCCGTTTACCTTCCTGCCGGAGCGGTACCTATTTATCTACTTGCACTTTGACGTGCTTTTGAACTGCTAGGTTGGCAGGAGCAGGGACCGAGCAACGGGAGCTCACTCCGTCACAGGGATTCGAACCACCGACCTTCTGATCGGCAAGTCCTAGGCTCTGTGGTTTAACCCACAGCGCCACCTGCGTCCCGAGGAGCAAATCTAGTAATGCGCAATTAAAGCGGACGACAGGTACTCTGGCAGAGCAAATTCATTTTTCGCCACTGACTTTGGGTGGCAATTAAAATGGCAGGAAAATGTGCAGGACGACAATAGATCGACTGGAAGTTACACGAACAAATTGACATGCTCAGCCAACGCCAGGCACCACCCAACCTATGCAGAAACCCAATCACAAATGAATCATCAACAAACAGCATGTTTCTGGAAGTGACTTTGGTCAGCGTGTTATAGGAACAACAACAACAACAATAATTTTTTATTTATACCCCGCCCTCCCCAGCCAAGACTGGGCTCAGGGTGGCTAACAACCAATAATAAAACAAGTTGATTAAATACAATTTAAAAGAATTAAGATACAACATTAAAACAATTAGGGAGCAATCTCTTCATAGGAGGAGAAAGGAAAAGAAAGAGGGGGAGGGAATCAAATTGATTCTGAGCCAAAGGCCAGGTGGAACAACTCTGTCTTACAGGCCCTGCGGAAAGAGATCAGATCCTGCAGGGCCCTGGTCTCATGAGGCAGAGCGTTCCACCAGGCCGGAGCCAATGCTGAAAGGGCCCTGGCTCTGGTTGAGGCTAATCTAACTTCCTTAGGGCCCGGGACCTCTAGGGTGTTGCTATTTATGGACCGTGAGGCTCTCCGTGTGGCATATCGGGAGAGGCAGTCCCATAGGTACGAGGGTCCTAGGCTGTGAAGGGCTTTAAAGGTCAAAACCAGCACCTTAAATCTGACCCTGTACTCCACCGTAGTCAGTGCAGCTGATATAGCACTGGGTGAATATGCTCCCATGGCAGAGACCCCGTGAGGAGCCTTGCTGCAGCATTCTGCACCCGCTGGAGTTTCTGGGACAGCTTCAAGGGCAGCCCCGCGTAGAGCGAATTACAGTAGTCAAGCCTGGAGGTGACCGTCATCACATGGATCACTGTGGCCCAGGTCGGGGCGGGAAAGGTAAGGGACCAAAATGCAAGACAGGCTTTCGTCGAGTGCATGAACGCAACACGTAGCAGGCATAGAAAAAGTGGGAAGAGGAGATCCCTTTGGCAGTGCCATAACAGGTGTTACCATCAAATGCCTTCAACTGTGAAATGTTGGAACGGGTGGATTTCTATGCACAGGAAACTGTCTGTGACTGTCTGATCTCAAGGTGCTTCTGTCCTGGGATGGATGATAGATAGAAAACACATGTTTCCGGTGAGCTGCCAAGGTCTACGCATGGATACTATCAACGGTTTGGGTTTAAGCACCGTTCATTTCTTCCTGTTATTTTTCTGGCTTTGACATAGCTTGGACTGAGTTCTGTCCCTGTGGAGGACTGGGCAGAGGAGGAGGAGGAACGGCGGAGACTGCCTCCCCACCCTTACCCTCCCAGGAGGAGGAAGAGGAAGACAGTATAGATTTACAACAGGGGTTTGAGGGAGGTCGCAGCTCAGAGGCAGCATGAGGGGGAAAGCTGGGGAATCATGGGAGAGCTGGAACAACCCCCAGCTGACATGGTGTCATTAGGAAGCATTCCAGACCCACCATCTCCCAACAGAGAGTGAAGACCTAGCATGCCCCAATAACTCAGCCTTAGCTTACTGCTTGTGATACAAGCAGATCCCCTAGAGCAGGGGTAGGCAACCTAAGGCGCCCGGGGGCCGGATGTAGTCCAATGGCCTTCTCAATCCAGCCCGCAGACGGGTCCGAGAAGAAGAAGAAGAAAGAAGAAGAAGAAGAAAGAAGAAGAAGAGGAGGAGTTTGGATTTGATATCCTGCTTTATCACTACCCTAAGGAGTCTCAAAGCGGCTAACATTCTCCTTTCCCTTCCCTCCCCCACAACAAACACTCGTGTGAGGTGAGTGAGGCTGAGAGACTTCAGAGAAGTGTGACTAGCCCCAAGGTCACCCCAGCAGCTGCATGTGGAGGAGCGGAGACGCAAACCTGGTTCACCAGATTACGAGTCCACCACTCTTAACCACTACACCACACTGGCTTGGTGTGTTTTTACATGAGTAGAACGTGTCCTCTTATTTTAAACTGGCATCTCTGGGTTATTTGTGGGGCCTTCCTGGTGTTTTTACATGAGTAGAATGTGTGCTTTTATTTAAATGCATCTCTGGGTTATTTGTGGGGCATAGGAATTCATTCATTTTTTCTTTTTCAAAATATAGTCTGGCCCACATGGGATGGTGGACCGGCCCATGGCTGAAAAAGGTTGCTGACCCCCTGATCTAGAGTGAAAAAACAAGGGAAACAACAGCAGCAGCAGCAGCAGCAGCAGCAGCAACAACCAGCAACAACAAAAACTCTACTGGTTGGGCAGATTACCGACCATCCTGAAATCAATTGTGGTTATTTGCTTAGAGGGGGGTCAAGTTTGTAATGACTATCTAATCGAACCCTGCCAACCACTAGATGGCGCTGTTCCATGTGCTTAGCTACAATTTCGTCCCTTTCCAATCGCGACTGCAGAAGTTATAAAAGATGGGAGAATCTTAATGTGATGCAGCGTCTAGGATGGTGATTTGGTATTATTGAAAAGGCCCCCACTGCTGTCTTGTACGGGTGTGCAAATTTCACAGCCACTTTTAAAACCAACAGGTCTGGCAGGTTTTTTGTAGAGTTCAATAAACCTGCAACACCTGTTTTGAACAGAAGAGCAGAGGGAGAAAATAACATTGTGTGCGTCTGTGTGCTGCGCACACAAACATCAATGATGCAAGAACAGATCTACATGCACGATTTTTTAACATTAAAGGAAGGGTTAAGGGACGGTTTTGATAACACGGATGACACAACAACGTCCTCCTTTTTATGTTTCTAATGTAATTGCTTTTTATCGCTTAATTTTTAATTGTTTATGCTGCTATATTGGTAAAACGCTGCGTGTGTGTCCCTAATGTACTGTTTCACACCCCCCCATTCAAACTCTGACCCTTCTCCAATGGTATTTATGGGATAGGGTTCATGGAAGGAGGGAGCAAACAAGGAAGGAAGAATTAAATTTTGACCCCAGGGGGTGGAGTCCAGAACAACCAATGACCAGCTGGAAAAGGAAACAGCGCTTTGGGAAAAGGTGTGGCCGGGTATCGCTTACCTTTGGCCAGAAAAACCAAGGTAAAAAACATTTTAATTAACAATTGTGCCCTGTGACGTTTTAGAACGACATATCTAATATTATTCCAATACGGGGAAATAACGTCAAACAGGTCAGTGTAGATCCAGCCCAAGTCCCTTGTTCCATTATGTCCCTTGTTCTTATTATTTTTATTATTGCTCTATCAGCCACCTTGGGCTCCTGCTCTACAACAACGCTATAGCCCTCTGTCGCGGTGTGGGAAACCTGTGGCCCTCTAAATCTTGCTGAACGACAACTCTCCTCACCCTGGGCCGTTGGCTATCATTGCTAGGGCTGATGGGAGTTGAATTTCTGCTGCATTTGGAGGGCAGAGGTTCCTCTCCCTTGGGTCTATTGTGCACACCAACTTTTCTCTCCACAAGACGCATGGCAGATTTGCAAACATAGAGTAAAGGTAAAGGTAAAGGTAAAGGTTCCTGCCAACCTAGCACTTCAAAAGCACATCAAAGTGCAAGTAGATAAATAGGTACCGCTCCGGCGGGAAGGTAAAAGGCGTTTACCTTAAAGGTAAAGGCAAAGGTACTCCTGACCATTAGGTCCAGTCGTAATCGACTCTGGGGTTGCGGCGCTCATCTCGCTTTACTGGCCGAGGGAGCCAGCGTACAGCTTCCGGGTCATGTGGCCAGCATGACTAAGCTGCTTCTGGCAAACCAGAGCAGCGCAACGGAAACGCCGTTTACCTTCCCGCTGGAGCGGTACCTATTTTATCTACTTGCACTCTGATGTGCTTTCAAACTGCTAGGTTGGCAGGAGCTGGGACCAAACAATGGGAGCTCACCCCGTTGCAGGGATTCGAACTGCCGACCTTCTGATCGGCAAGTCCTAGGCTCTGTGGTTTAACCCACAGCGCCACCTGTGTCCCAAACATAGAGTAATGCTCTTGTAAAACACGTATGAATATCAATGGGTTTGCCCAATAGAAGTTCCCAGTAGATTAAGCTAATAGGCTTATAACATTTTTGTGTGTGGGGGGTGTGTGTGTGTGTGTGTTAAGAATGAAAGCCAACTACGGCAAGAGTATTGTTAGCCCAAAAATGGAAGCAAGAAGAAATTCTGATGAGAGAAGAATGGCAGACAAAATTAATGGACTATGCAGAATTAGATAAAATGACAGGAAGGATTCGAAACCTGCGGGACCATAGATTCACAGAAGATTGGAAGAAATATATGAACTATTTGAAGAGCAACTGTAATCAACAAATTACGCTAGTAGGACTACAATAAGTTTTGTAAGGAGAAATATATGAAACATTGCAAAATAGGAAAAGAAGAGAGATATTAGTTAGGAGACTTAAATGTAATAGTGAAAGTAAGAAATATATACTAAGTGATTGGATTGGAAAATTTTCAGATGTGATTAATGGAAGTAAAAAAAACTGTATAAGATGTAAAATTATGTTTAATTATTGTTGAAAATGATGCGTTAAAACTAATATTTATTTTTTAAAAATGAATGAAAGCCAACTAGTTCTCTTTTTAATTTAAATAATGGCAAGAAACAATAGCACTCAACATCTTTGGTTTTTTTAGAGGGTAAAATGTGTTTTCCTTTATTTAAGTAAACTCCCAAGTTAAATAAACTAATATAGCTCAGTCGGTAGAGCATGAGACTCTTAATCTCACGGT